CTCTCTCTCTCTCTCTCTTAAACCACTTTACCCTGTTTCTTTTTCTCTCCCAAGCCTACATATATTTTTAAAACACACTGTAAACCTTTAGAGGTTTTTCTTAATGTGATTCTGTCTTTACTGTAAATCTTTATCTTTTTGTATCCACGAGTTTTTATCTGGTAAACAACAACATTGCTAAAATGAAAGTCATAGCTGTGTTAGCCGCGGTCTATCCAAGATGGCGGTGGGTATTTTTCCTCCAGAACTGAGAGCTGTACTCACTGCCTTGGTCTACGCTGCCATCCAGCAGCATGTTGCAGGCTTGGAGATGTGGTCACTTCCACTGCCAGCTCTCATACACACCAATGAATTGTTAGACGTGCTTCTTAAAAGCCATGTAGTTTTTTGCCACTTATGCTGAGTCAGGAAACCTCCCTTAAAGGAGCTGCGCAAATTTCTGCTCATCTCTAGCAAAGCCGAGTCCAACTGAGAAAAATGCTGTCACCAAGAAGCCTTGGTTGTCTCTGTTCTTTTGTTTCTAAAGCCCTTTTTAAAGCTTTTGTTAAGTTTTAAGTGGAATTTCTTTGGTCCACGTTGGACGCCATTATGTTAGGAGTATGTTTTTGCCCCTGCTAGTCTGGTCCCGCTGCCACGTCAACCCCAACAGAATGACAACTCCCATCACAAGCACATACAGCTTTGAATTCCAACAGCAAGCCTCCAATGTCCTCTGTCATACTAGAGTGCAATTTTAATACCATTAGTCAGTATACATCTAACACTATTACAAGGGTTTTCTCGGGGTAGAGGTATTCCAGTCACACCAAAATAATGTCTTAGGTGGGCAACATGGGCCTGTGTTTTTATTTCCATTTTCAAAGAAAATCAAAGGATACACACTTGTTGAAATGTGTGTCAAACTTGCACCTGGTGTTTCCCACTTGAACACTATCTTCAACCTGGAATTCTTCTGGTGTTGCAGAAGGAATATGTAATGCAAGTCAGGAGGTCGATCATAGAGCAGGGCATTAGGCAGAGCGAATAGATAGCATCTACTTGGATTTCATAATCGAACTTTGGATTTCCAGTTATTTGAAAAAGGCTTTGAAGGAATGGGCATAAAATCCCTCTTCCTTACTCTAGCCTTCCTCTATTATTTTAATTGGCATTTTTTGTTCCCATAAATATGGAAAAATATCATTGTACAACAGCAGGTAGGAATATTTAAAGAAATAGGTCAGGTTTGTGAAAGAATGAAATCCAGCCCATCCTCAGATCAATTGTTTTTCCCAAATGATGAGAAAAATAGGAAGTTAGAAAGCCAATGATATATAGGGCTTTTAGTCAAGGAAAAAATAGTTTTCTAAACTTGAATTAAAGAAAGTGAGAGCTACACACCTTAGACATTACCTCTAACGCATTTGAGCACTGGGCCTTAGCAAATGAAATTCCCAAGTGATTGGCATGTGCTGTGCCATATCGACGGAGCCAGGGCCATTAGTGACATCTGTACCTGACCAAAACATCTCTTCACTCCCGCTCAGGAAAGGTGATGAATACCTACTATGTGACAAGATTTGTGCTGGATTCTTCACAGTGCTAAAAATAGATTACTTAGTCAATAACCAACTTGGGGGTATTACATTTAACAGCATACAAAAGATAGTCCCAGTGATAAAAACTAAGCAGAGATGGTCACATTAAATACCCCATGCTAGGAAGTTGTACTGTAATCAAAGACTGAAGCCCCTTCCCTTCTAACTCCCCCAGCCACCTCAGAGCACTGCCTATTGGCCCCGATGTTTTCTATAGCTCTAATCATCTTCCAATATTTAAAAGCCGGAACAAGAAGAGAACATGGAAAAAATTGTTACTATTAAGTGCGACTGTACTGAATTATTCATTCACTATGAACTTAAAATATGATTGATAATAAACAAACAAAAAAGATATCTGGCTATTTCAAATTTTGTATTTGACATTAAGGAGTAACAAGCAACCAATGCCTTTCAGGAGGAAACTGGTAATGAAAGCATTTGTTTACTTGTGTGAGTTTACTAATTATATTTCAATAACTAGAATCCATCCACTTTAATCCCCCACCCACATAAATCATTAGTAATTAACACTGGCTTCCTCCTGGGAGAATAAGGTAACACTCATATACTGCCCATAGATCAGGAATGTCAGCATGGTGCTAGGATTCAATTGTGTGTTGAGCAGGGGGTGCCTGCAGAGTCAATGATGATCTCTTTCCGATGCTCACCACCCTCCATGTGAGACAACTGTTTGCTGCTGTAGTGACAACACTGCTGTCTGCCTAACCTAGCATCCCTGGTGGCATGATGAGCCTCCAGGAAGAGGTCATCATCCTTGACGTTCTATCTCACCATCCTTACCCAAATGACCCTTTGCCATAAATCCAGAAGCTCTATGTGAAAATCCATTTAGAAACCATAATCCTCTAACACCAGGTTAAAACTACCAGATTTCTGTGCAAATGGGTTCAAATGGCCTCAAACCATACTATGCATGTGTGCGATTGAAATCAGAGATTCATGGGAAGACGAAATGGAGATAACAAGTTGCTCCATTTTGTTAAAGAGATGATTCAGTTAGTCTGACTCTGCTGGCAAATACTTTGTGATCCACAGAGCTAAGAAACACGTTCTCTAGATACCCAAATCTGAATGTGCACCCTGTGCTTTACCTGATACAGAATTGGGAGAGTGGGGTGTGCCATAGGTCAGTGTTCATTCACAAGCAGCCACTTTTCCATACCCATAATTAAAGCTATTGTAAATACTAAGGTGCAGATATGTTCAATACACTTGAGAGTAAGCCTTTTTCATGCTTCCTCTTCTTTATAAGCCCAATCTGATTTTTCATGGCACCCTATGAAAACAGAAGGATGTCTATGAAACCGTGTCTCTCCTATAACTGTACAGTGAGGATGCATCGTGAATGATAAGATTACCTGTAAAGGATTAGAACAGTACAGTTTGCAGTTTGGGGGGGGGCGGGGAATGTTGGTTCAGACTAGGGACTTGGGAAACTCAAGCTTCACCGACAAGAAGGCAAAGTGCAGCCACTCAAGGCTAGGAGTTGGGCCTGCCCAGCAGCTGGAGAGCAGCCAGCAGGATTAGGTGGCCCAATGAGAAGCCTGCCAGGAAGCAAGAACACAAGCTAGGACCGCACAGCCACATTCTGTGTTCAGCTGGATCTAAGGAGTGTTGTGAAATGACTTGTGCATGCTGATGGAAAATAGTTTTGCTGCCATACAAAAGAAACAAAAACAAAGGCCAGGATGGGTTCCTTAGCCTGCCCTCACACGTTTCTCCAGGTCATAATAACATTTCAGATGGGTAATTACTAAGCCTCTTGTCTATGTGGAATATTTTTGTTAAGCAACAGCAGATAGCATTAATTAGCTTTTTAGCTCCACGTGTATTTTTAGCTATCAGGTCCTTCACTGCACATTGTCGATCTTCTCTCTTGTTCTCTCGTCTTGAGCACTTTTTAACAATCTAATACAGAACTCAACAAGCCACACCAGTAAGCACCAGGACCTCTTCCTTAGGTTTGGAACTGCTAGAGAAATGTTCAGTGAAATCCATCATATCCCCTCTTACACAATGTGTTTGACCTCCAGATAACGTTAAGCGCTTCATCCCCCAATGCGTTTAATTTTAATCCTGCCGAGACTGAGACGAAAGTCATTGCTTGAATTACAAGAGTGAGTCTCGTTAAGGCTGAAAAGCAGTGACCCAGATAACATAATGGATTAATATGGAGACCTTGCAGTTTTAGAGCCTTGCTTTCAAATCTGCCTGTTCCTGTCAAGCCACTGCAGTAGTCAATCAATTGGTTAATACCTGCCTATACACATCCTGGCTATTCCATAAAGGATTAAAATAAACCAGGCTACCTGCAGGGAGAGAGTTTCTTGTAGACATGACATGGATACTGTTCTCCTGAAATATCAAGAATATGGTTGGTTGCCTAAGCAAGACAAGAATGATGGTCACATCACTAGACATGCCAACAAAGATGAAGGAAACCCACAAGCCCCAACCCCAGATGAAGAGCTGAAGTCGTGGTTTCTCCAGGGACAACCTCCCTGATAGGTTATTCAATCCCCACTGGTCAGCCCTAAACATGTAAAAAGCAGCACTAAATGGACTAAGCAGGTTTTATAAACATACACATTTATATTTGTTTGTATATATATATTATATATAATAAATACAGAATGGGGGATGGAAAGAGTTGGAAGAAGGAAGAGTAGAAATTATGTAAGTACAATATACTCATGTATGAAACTCTCAAAACATTTAAAATATTTAAAGTGAGAACACTCAATCTCGTATTGTCTCCTAAAACCTCCTTAAATGATTAAAATTAAAACGCAGCGTTGAATGGACAGCAATGATGCTAAAATCCCTAATGATTTTGTAATTTGGTGGCATTCTAACAAGCACCAACATGTTGACATTTTCATGACATAAATATATACAATGCTATAGTGTATATGTATAAAGTAATAAGATGTCTACTTATCAAGTCAAAAGTATAAGCACACTGAGTTGTACTTATGAAATGAGATATTGACCAAATTATCAAAGTCTGGTTTTGACTGGTTGGTTGTGGTAATGAGATTAAAATCCATGGCCTTGTCCTTTCCAGTCCAGCCCTCTACCACTGAGCTCTTATCTTTTGGTATTCTTTTGGGTAATGCATATGTTAAACTATTAAATTACAGAGGAAATTAATGTGGATACAGCTTAATAGGACATCTTTCCATCTAAAGATTAAAGAAAAAAATTAGCTGAGCATGATAGCATGTACCTCTAACCTTAGCACTCAAGGCGCTGAAGCAGGAAGGTCATAAATTCTAAGCTGGCCTGGGCTTGCATTGTAAGACCCTTTGTCAAAAAGTCAAAACTCAAAAGTGAAAATACAAGAATGTTTCAAGAAGCATGTTTCTGAAAACGTGTCTGTTTGTTCATCTATTTTAGATGCAAGATATCGGGAATGCCGAAGGAGCTCAGTATGGCTCCCACCCTCAGATGGCAGCCATGAGGCCGAGAGGCCAGCCTCCAGACATCAGACAGCAGGCAAGCATGATGCAGCATGGCCAGCTGACCACCATCAATCAGTCCCAGTTGAGTGCACAATTGGGTTTGAACATGGGAGGAAGCAACGTTCCTCACAACTCCCCTTCTCCCCCGGGGAGCAAGTCTGCAACCCCTTCACCTTCCAGCTCGGTGCATGAAGATGAGGGCGATGACACCTCCAAGGTATGATCCGTGTTTCCTGATTTCTTTGTGCTGTGAGAAACATTGGTGGGAAGCCTATACTTGGTTAATGAAACATAAGGTTACAAACTAAATGGATTTAACCACGTTTACCCGGTACACTTCTAAGTTCCTTATGTGTCCCGTCAGTGTATATTTTTATATAACACAAAGGTTATTTTGCTCTTAAAATGTATGGTATGCATAGGGAGCAAAGCTAAATAAGTTGGCTTCTGCAATCGAGCCTTCCTTATGGCCTCCCAAAAACATTTTTCTCTGTAGGACCATTTGTTTTCCTTGCAAGGATCTCATGTAGCACAGGCTAGCCTCAAACTCCCGAGGTGCTAGTAGCTGAGGAGGGCCCGGTTTCCACTTCCTGAGTTCTGGGATTGAAAGGGTGGGCCTCTTTGCCAAGTTGTGGAACGCTGGAGATCCGCCTTACACTGGGAAAGCACCATACCAAACATTGCTATAGTTGCAGTCCCATTGCACTGTAAGAAGCAAAAGTTCTGCAGTATGTGTATGCTGGAATGCAGTTAGATAACAGTCTCAGGTCACCTGACCCAATCCTTCCACACTAGTGATGGGCAGGGTAGAAGATGACTTTACAGGACAGACCTCGGTGCTAATGTTTTCTGGTTCCTATGGCTCTATGCTGTTCTTTAAATCATTTGGGTGGGAAATTGCTTTTTAGATGCCCTCGGAGGGGGAAATCAGCTGAATTTTCCTTTAAATGCCTCTAAAGTTGTTTAAGGGAATTGTTCCTTTAAAATAAAATACTTTAAAAAGAGAAAAGAAAATCACTGTGTCAAAACCCTGTATGTTTTTTTTTTTCCTAAAAACCCCTTCCCTTCCCCTTCCCTTCCCCTTCCCTTCCCCTTCCCTTCCCCTTCCCTTCCCCTTCCCTTCCCCTTCCCTTCCCCTTCCCTTCCCCTTCCCTTCCCTAATTACCAATGAAGCTTTGCCCAGATTTATCCTAGTGAGAAGGATATGTGTCTACCGACTGTGAAAAAGCGCACAGTACACAAATGCTATCTTTCTATTTGCATTCTTTTTTTTTAAAGATTTATCTTATTTTTTAACTATGTAGAGGCAGTGGGTGGACAATATGCAGGAACCTCAAGAGTCCAGAGGCTTTAGATCTCACAGGGGCTGTTGGTACAGGGATTTGTGAGCTGCCAAATGCAGATGTCAGAAACCAAACTCTGCAAGAACAGTACAGGCTCTTAACTGCTGAACCCTCCCTCAAGTCCCTCTTTTATTTCTTTAAGAAGCTTCCTAATAAATAGTCACGTGTGTCACTCTGTTTTCTTCTCACCTTCATAAGAATTTTGTTTGGGGGAAGTCAAACTGCCGACATACTGCTATAGGCAATACTATGGAATCTGATCTACGTGATTGACTGCCAGTATCCACACTAAACACTTAATAGTTCAGATGAGTTACAATTCATAGATTATCCAATTTACTGACAGCAGTGCACTTGATGCCCTAGTGTTTGGGAGTTCTTAATCTCTCAGTGACTATACAGTTGGCTGCCATAAATGACTCCACTGTGAGGACCCCTGTGATATACAAGCCAGCTAACTTGGACCTCTCACACACCAATTCAGTGTTCCCTGCCTCATACCAGGTTCAGGGCCAGCCAACAAACATCCAACTACCAAGTCCAGAATCTGCTTACACTGTACCAGGCCTTTCCCCTGCTCTGTGAGTATGTCCTCACAAGCTGCCAACGCCTGCCCACAAACTGCTGACACATGCTCTGCACCATGAATTGCCCTGGTCCTTTCTGTCCCTCGTTGACTTGGGACCCTCCCCAGGTGGCCATGTGCTCAGCTGTGAATCCTGTCCTTTGGATCTGTGAGTGTAAACGTCTCTCTTCCTGGAAACCATTTCCATGTTTTGCTGACTCCCCCAACAAAATCAAATCAAATCCCAGGTACAAATCCTAGTGCCTCTGCATACCTACCTGGTTCTGTTACCCTCTTAGTCAGGTCCGTGGTAAGTGAGGGAGCATCCACAGACAAAAAAGAAGTACTAATGGATGGCTAGTTCATAGTAAATAAACCACTGGACTCATAACAGCCTGGGCATCAGCTGGCTATTTAGATGGCAAAGACAGTTTTCCTCAGAAAATATGGATTATTCTAATGGTACCTAACTATCAGTGATTGCCTGGATCCAAGTATGAACACCAACCTTATGTGTATGGCCAGAGATTTGTGGGTTCACAATAATGATCAATTTGTACATCCGGACTGTGTCTTTATCAGAATTCCTTCCTGACAATCCAAAAAACTAATGCAAAATTTGTAGTGTTTTCTAACAATAAATTGTATGTAGGATATGTCTTAATTACTGTAACATCCTATATGCTCTTCAACTTACATGGGTGGACAGGAACCTGAAATTCTTAGAATTGCATTCTGCCATTTACTGTTAATCACTTAGGAACACAGCTTGTGATTGTCCCAAAGCATGAATTTTGTTTATTATAAACTGGTGGTAATTTTTACCAGTGAGTTTCCTATCCATTTATCCAATATCTACATCTTAAAGACATGCATAGGTCTCTAAGTGGAGGTAAGCCTGTGTGGTTCTTACCAGGGACTCTTGAGCAATTGGTGTGGGTGAGGGGGATGAAGAAATGAATTTCTCAAAAACATCCCTGTTTCAAAAAAAAAATGGCTTCTTTTCCTTTACACATCTTACAAAAATTCAACCCCAATTACAATTCTGAATGCTGTTGCTCATGTTAGATTCAGAATTCCTTTGCCATTCATTCAAGCTACTTATTCAACTTATGTGTGTTGAAATGCAAGAAAAATCTTCTGCCGAAAGTACCTAGGCATTTTTAATGACAGTTAAGAATTAGACAGTACTTTTTTCTTTATGTGTGCAGGATTTGTATGTAATGTTGTATTACAGAAACTCTAGTTAAATGTGAAATAGCATTAGGTAAAAAAAGATCATAGAAATCATTTCTAACAAGTGAACCAAACAGGAATATTGAGTTCCACCCCAGAGAAAGTGGCTTTCAAAGCCCCTCTTAGCACACCATGCTGTCTCTAAGCAATTACATATTGATTCCAGTTTATCTAATTGAACAATTAAACAGAATAACTCTGTTTTGACAGAAAAAAATATATCATAAATACACCAGCAGAATTAATTATCACCTTGCAAACGCCACCCATGGCTTTGATTGCTTGGAAGCAATGTTGACAGCTTTGAGTCACAAATGAGACCTGCAGAGAAATAAAAGCTCAGGTTTGTGGCTCTGAATCTGTAATCCTGCTCCTATAATTTAACAGACACTTCAAGACACTTAGAGGATCTAGCATTACACATGTGTGTTGGATATAGTTGTTCCTTTAATTATACACTAAAACCCACAGTAGATATTTTTCTTCCTTTACTTTCTTTTCTGTTGAAAACACCCTTATGTTTCTGTGCATCACATAAATGATGCAGCGTTAGATGATCTTCTGCTGTGACATGGAACTATTCCAGCACTTACACAAACATCTGGGTCTACCTTGCTTTCTCAGTGTGGCTCCGTAGACGTTTTGTATTACTCATTCTATCTTCTTTAAAATTCTTATTTTTCTCCTCCAATTATTTCTGATTTTAAGACTGGAAATTTGGTATTCTTTTTCTTCCTTTTTTACTAGCTCTTTGAGAGTTTTGAGTTTCCTATAACATATTTTGCTGATGCTCATTCCTCAAAGTCACCTTACATCCACTTTCTTTTCCATAGCCACCAACTTTGTGTCTTTTTATTAGTCCCTTCAAGACCAATTGTACCCCTAAAATATTCTTGGCTGCTGTGTGTCTTGCACTGGATCATGATTGATTTACCAGTTAGTAGCTACACTCTTAGCGAAAACTGATTATAACTTTCCCAGCATCTAATGAGTGCCAATAGCTCCATGTATAAGAGTGAGGTTCTGTGCCCAACTCCTCTTTTTAAACAGGGATTTGATCTGATTCAGGCTTACACAGGTTTGTACATAAAAGATGTAAATGAGTTGATGTCTTTACACTGCTATTTAGGTTACTTTTAAGTCCAAATACCCGCCTTCTGTATTATATACTTATATTGTTACTAATAGTCATCTTACTTGTAATTTTTAAAATTCTTAAGTATAATATATTTCATTAAATACCATTTATATCATTTTACATAGTTAATTTTCCTCCAATTTTATTTATATGTGTCACTTACATCTAGCATTGCTTTGTCTTAACTTTAAAGAGTTCTTTTGGCATGGGTCTTCTTGGAACGTGCCTACCTTAAAGAATATTTTTGCTGGGTATATTTCTGGATTGGCAGTAACTACCTTTCAGCATCTTGTGGCTGTTGTGTTTTTCTTTTGAGCCCTTGTTTCCATTGTTGTTTTTGAGATCTACTGCCTCTGTCTTTCTTTGAAAGTAGCCTGACGGTCCCCTCTAATTGGCTTGAATATCTCTTGCCTTTGGTGATCTTCAGTTTCAAGGTGATGTATGTGGGCTTCTTCCCATTTATCTTGAATTTAATTATCTCTGTTCTTCATCGCTTCTGGAATATTTCAACCCCTTTTTTCTTCAGATAGTGCCTCTTGCTCCGTTCTCATTTTGTAATTCTGAAAAGATTAATGCTAGACTTCTAATCTTATCCTCCACAGCTCCCACCCCCAACATGCTCTGTGCAACTTCCCTACCTGCTAGACTATGATTCTACTTAATTTATTTACATTTATATCTTAGTTGGTAATTATTTTTTTCTGTTTTATCCAATCCAAAATGAAAATGACCGTAGGAATTTGCAATTTCAAGTATATTTTAGCTTTATTTTTTCTCAAATCTAAACATTTTCTTAGTTATTTAATATTATTTTTCTCATATATTTAATTTATTTTGTTCATGTATTTGTTGCCTACCCTCTGTCGTAGTTACTTTTCAATTTCTGTGACAAAACATCATGACTAAACCAATTTATAAAGAAAGAGTTTATTGAG